TAAATATTAAATACCAAATACCAAATATATTAAATATTAAATATTAAATATTAAATTATATTAAAATCTAATAAACTACATTATATTAAATATTAAATATTAAATTATATGAAAATTAAATATATTATATAATAATAAATATTAAATACCAAATACCAAATATATTAAATATTAAATATTAAATATTAAATTATATTGAAATCTAATAAATTATATTATAATAAATATCAAATATACTACATGTTAAATATTAAATTATATTTAATAAATTAAATTACAATGAATAAATGAAATTATATAAAGTATCAAATAACATTCTATAAACAATTGTTTTTCTAATTTAGTTGTTAATTTGTTTGTTTCAGTTGCTGGGCGGTGCTTGTTTCAGCCACGGCCCATACACATTTTATAAAGCCGTTAGGATAGGAAATGGACGTGTCCTTCGGCTTGGCAATTTTTTCTTGACAAAACTTTGGAGTGACGCAGATCTCGTCAGTATAGGTGAACTTCAGTTACTTTGGATGGACAGCCGTGGACCGAATCAACCTTTGGCATCGTTACGGCTCTATTTCCTTCCGGAAAACACCCCGGATGGTCGTAGGGACACTCACGGAGAGGTAAGTCCCATTTTTCATTATTTTTCATCATCCCTGTTTTTTTTTTTTTTTACTTCCCTACAACAATTTTTTTTTAATCATTATTTTTCAAATCACTTTTTTATTAATTTCAAATTTATTATATCTTTTTTTTATTAATTTAATGATATTTACAGTAGGTATAGAAAAAAAAAATAAAAATAACCCCCATAATAATACAACGTTTGAAATTGCGAATAATTTTTAATTAATTAATTATTTTCTCTTTTTACTCAACCTCTAATTTTATTTTTTTTTTATTTGTTTTGATATTCAATATTAATATTAATATTATTATTATTATTGATATTATTGTTATTATCGTTAATCTTCATTTCACGTTACGTTTTCAAAATACTCGTTTTATTTAATCTTACAGTAGTAGTAGTAGTAGTAGTAGTAGTATTCGTTAATTAAAATCATTATTCATATTTTCATTTTACTTTTATTTTATTATTAAAGAAGAGGTAATATAAAAGATCGTGTACATAGGGGTTGGGGGTTGGGGGGTTGGGGGTTGAGGGTGAGAGGTGAGGAGGGACTGGAGTGGTCGTAATCGATTTTAATATAACTATACATAGAATATAAATAAAATTCCGTTCTCGCTCGTATACCCGAGATATCAAGATTCACATTTTATATACGTGTATATACATATATACATACATATATATATATGTATATATGTATATATGTATATTACGATGTTGGTTTTACAAATGTGTGCCAAAAAATTCATATAACTTTCTGTCACGTTTTATATATTAGTAAATAATATCAGTATACATACATATATAATATATATGTATATGTATTTATATGTGTGTATATATATATATATATAGGGTAACTGTACGTAATATGGAACACCACTGCAATATCCTCCGGCAAGCAAACAACGTATAAATATTATCGAAAAGCATGCGCAATATTTTATTTCTTACAAAACAATCGATATAATGAAAAATTTACTGTATTTTTGTTGTTTAATTTCTTCTATTTTTTTATTTTATTTTTT